GTGTGTGTGTGTGTATGCAGTATGGTGGACAACGGGTTAGCATTTGCGCCTCACAGCACAGATGTCCGGGGTTCAAAGCCTTCCTTTTGCTGATTGCAGTTCCAGGGGACCTGGGAAACCAGCTGGAGGCGAAGCTGGATAAACCCAGCGTGGTTCATTACATTTGTTACAAGAAGACAGATACCTTCTTCACTTTATGGCTCAACCTGGAGCAGCTTGTACCTGTTGCCATTGACTGCTGGATGGACAACATAAGGTATGTCAGTCAAAGATGCTGCCATCGATACCTTCCTAATTTCTTGGATTTGTATTCACTGAGGATTAGCTATTAGTACAATGGTACATGACTCGCAAAAGTATAATTCAGTTCAACCCACCATGGTACAGTTTGGAACTGTAAACTCTGACAAGTTGCACCAAGCTTTTTGTCACTTTAGTATCATTCGATGAAATGGAGTTGTGCTGAAGACTCTAAATTGGTTTAACCATGCGTGTGAATAATCGTCTATATGTGCCTTGTCTGTACTGGCCTTGTTGACATTCCTTGAGCCGTTATCCATCTCCAATGTGTATATCCTTCCAAAGGTCAGTTCTCCCAATGTAAACCTATGTTGTGGTAATCCTTAACAAGCAGGAATGAACAAAAACAACCGCTCTCTTCGGAAATGGAAAAACGCCTGTATTTTAAATTAGCCGATTAATGACATAGGTGTTTCTAGCTGCTTATATATATAGAGAGAGAGAAACAGAAACAGTAAGTGTTTATTTTATGGCTTCTATGAAACAGTCCACCCTCCAGAAGTTGATGGCAGCATATTTCCATAATCATTCCCCATAAACCAGAAGTTAGCCGGCTAATTAACAAATAACATTAACACTGCTCCAGATAAGCCTTGGCTGAGGTATGCGTGCCATTCTAGAATTGCTGAAAACCAAAAAAATCTATTACTCTCGAAGATATTTGCACACTAGGCCTACTGTATTGTAGCCATTTAGTCAGGATGGACAATAAAGTCTGTTCGCAGCAGAATGGAATGACAAGATCAATTTTGCTTTATCTCCTGTTTGAAAAGAGATCTTGGAATAGATTGGAAATGTTTCTTTGACCAGTGATCTCTAAACTGGCTCACAAAGCAAGCGTGTCCAAGTGCATTCTCCTCCATTTTCTGTCAACATGGACCTCCGAACAATAAAAGAAAAGTTACGTTTTACTTTCAACATACAGTATTTTTATTTGATTGATGCTCACAATCAGACAGAGCCGAGCCAAGCTGTGCAGTAAATAATAGTGCGATGCTTGCTGTGGTTCATTAAGCACTTTTCACTGGCATTCTGACTTACTGAAATACTGAAATACTGTCGCAACTTCTGTTGAGCAATTATGAGTTGGTGCCATCTAGAATGTAATAATACAAATGGGAAGCAATCTTGCAGTAAATTAGGAAACATCTATAAGGTAGTCAAGAACAAAAAAGGGAAGATGATGTTTGTCACACAAGGTGTGACGCAAGTGCAGAAATCCTGTTTTCCAGTGTTGGTCTCGCACCAGAGAACTACAGAAGCAGAACTAACACCTAAGTCAAGGTTTCCTTTTGACACTGTGTACGTATGTGTGTAGGCTGATCTACAACAGGACCACACACACTACCTCATCACCACCCGGGGTGAACATCACCGTACCGGGATTCGGCCAGACGTACTCAGTGGAGTATCTGGACCCCAGTAAACGCAGTGTGGGTAAGTGTGGAAGGATGCAAGTTTGTGGCCGTTTAAGACCGCAAGCAATCGCAGTCATCATACAGCTGCTGTCCATCAATTCTCATTCAGTCAGGGGTCTGGTGAAGATGAGCGATATCATGTGCTGTCATTTGCTCCCGCCTTAAAATGTCAGCATTTCAGCCTACAAGAATTACACTTAACACTTGACAAAACAGGTTACGGTTATCCTCATCTCTACCCGGTGTGCCTATTGTGCTGTTGCACGCCTGTGAGCAAAGAAAGATCATTTCAGACTATTTCTTGTCATAACAGGTAGAATAGCAATTGTCTTTTCTTGACCCTTCCGTAAAACCCCTATGGCTTATAAACCAGTGAAGACTATTTTCTATTAGGAGTGGCTTACTGTGTATAGATGAACTGACCACATACCGTATTGGCCCGAATATAAGACGGCCCTGATTATAAGACGACCCCCTCTTTTTCAAGACTCAAGTTTGAAAAAATACTTTTTGAACAACAAATTAATTTTTATACAGAAAAGAATTACAGTACATCTGAAACAAATGATTATAACAATATATTTGAGAGAAAAAGCATGTTATTTTGCCTCATTCAAATCTAAAGTGCAATCACATTTGTAAATGAATGGCTTCTGGTTTTTGAAATGTAAATTACATCATAACTTCTCCTCAGCTGCCGATTAACCTGGCCGATCTTCGACCCACTTTTCTCCAGATTGTCACTACGTTTGTCCATTTTCTGTTATCTCTTTTGTTATTTTCTTCACTTTTCCTTCTTACCGCTATTTTTTATTTTTCTTCTCGTGCTACCACTATTTTTATTTTTATTCTTCGCGGCAGGGGTTCACTTTGGCCTGGGGAGTCAAGTTCAGCATTCGCTTTAAATGATATCTGGCGCCATCTCGCTTCGTGAATGGGTATAATGTCTAGACCCCGAATATAAGACGACCCCCACTTTTTCTGTCTTATTTCAATGCAAAAAACACCGTCTTATATTCGGGCCAAAATGGTATTTGCCGAGGAAAACCTGAAGTAAAATGCTCTCAAAAAGCTACCAATGCTTCCATGCCGCTAAAAGCCGATTCTGCGCTTGTCTGCCCTTTTTTTTTTTTTTTAGGTATGTATTTCTTTAACATCGCACAGGCATTGGTGGACTGGGGCTACACTCGAGGTGACGATGTGAGAGGAGCTCCGTATGATTGGAGAAAAGCACCCAGTAAGCGGAACACACGCACACAACCTTGCTAAGGCTCCTTTCGTGAGCGGCTTGTCCCATTAGCTTCTCCATTTTGACTTGGAGATGCCTTTTTGCTTCCTTCCCAGATGAGAACAAGGAATACTTCCTGGCATTACAGCAGATGATTGAGGAGATGGCAACCAATGCGGGTCGGCCCGTGGTTTTGATAGCTCACAGTATGGGCAACATGTACATGTTGTACTTCCTCAACCAGCAGCCGCAAGCCTGGAAAGACAAATACATTAAAGCGTTCATCGCTCTGGGAGCGCCGTGGGCCGGCGTGGCCAAGACACTACGTGTGATCACCTCTGGTGAGAGAAGACACCGTGCATGTGTTTTTCTTTTTTTTGGAGTGGGACCAGACCACCATGAGACCACAACCTGAGTCAACCTTTGCTATAAATCTCGTTATTACTAGTCGTTATATTTGATCTGGCTTTGTGAATAATTAGTCCTCAAATGTAATCCTTTCTTTTGGTTTAGTGGCGGTTTAACAGGTCTTTGGTGCATACCGCCACCTACTGTACAGGAAGCGCAAAGCATTTCCATATATAGTCAACGCTGTCCGGTCAGGCAAACCTGGGCCGTCAGGACTTGACCCGGTTCGTGACGATTACATTGACGGACAAAAATCCAATTCCGTCAGTACCGAGTCTTTTTTTTTTTTTTTTCCCTCGTCATTTGCAAAACAATGTCTGTTAGCATTGACGAAATGCCCACCTGCATCCCGCCACCTACTGTACAGGAAGCGCAAAGCATTTCCATATATAGTCAATGCTGTCCGGTCAAGCAAACCTGGGCCGTCAGTACTTGACCCGGTTAGTGACGATTACATTGACGGACAAAAATCCAATTCCGTCAGTGCAGAGTCTTTTTTTTTTTTTTTTTTTTTTTTTCCCCCCCTCTCTTTTCAAAGCATGCTTTTTGCCCTAAGGCCTATTACTTCTCTTCTTTCGGCTTGTTGCTGAGAAAAAAAAACATAGCCTTGGGCATACGATAAAGGTTGTTTGCACAAAATTGTCGTTGGCAATATTAGAGCCGTGCTTAAGTGTGTGTTTGCAGTCTTCACTGAATAAGTATGTTTATGAGATTTAAAATGATACCCTGAACTGGTTCCCAGCCAATCGCGGTTTTTCATTTTATTATTAATAGTCACTCAAATGGCTGTTATCAGTTACTGAGAAAAAAAAAATAGCCTTCGGCATACGATAACGGTTGTTTGCACAAAATTGTCGTTGGCAATATTAGAGCCGTGCTTAAGTGTGTGTTTGCAGTGTTCACTGAATAAGTATGTTTATGAGATTTAAAATGATACCCTGAACTGGTTCCCAGCCAATCGCGGTTTTTCATTTTATTATTAATAGTCACTCAAATGGCTGTTATCACATGATCGGTAAAGTACCGTATTTGCCTAAACCACACAATAACACATCCCCTTACTTTTGTTTCTGTCCGTCTACTTCCACTTCTTGAAATCTGGCTTGTTCGGTACGTGTTGCAGGCGACAATAATGGCATCCCAGTCATCAGGCCACTGAAGATCCGCTCTCAGCAACGTACGGCTGTGTCCACCTCTTGGCTCCTTCCCTATTCCCACACTTGGCCTAAGGATAAGGTATGTGTGTGTATGCGTGAATTTATTATTCCTTATAGCTCCAAAGAACTGACCACACTTTCATGAAAACGTCACAACAATCCATTTATACTGGCGGAGCACAGCCCAAGGCGGCGTCGAAAAAAAGCGAGTGCCAGTAAAGTCAATAAGAGCAGTCATGATAAACCCGTGGATGCAGGAGTCTACTCTGTGCACGGCTTTCTACGAATCATTTGACGCACTGTATTAATTAGCGCAAAATCACTCAACGGGGTCTATTTAACCAATTCAAGGCCAAGGATGTTTTTTTCATGTTTTTTTTAAGAATCCAGGCATTCAGTCCCAAGTACATCTTTGTATTTTAAAAAAATATGTGTTAAAAGGTGCATTATTACTGAGTTTATCCATCCATCCATTTACCACCGCTTATCCGGGGTCGCGTGGTTCAGACTGGTCGAAAAAAATCGGGTAGCACCACGTGTCTCGTTTGCTTTAGTTTTGGTGTGCAACTCTATGTGGGTTGCTTCAAGCGCAGGAGGGGATCAGGAGGGGATCCTCCCGACAGAGCATATGATTCTTTCACGTGAAAGCAGGAAGTTCTGGTATGACAAAAACAGACGCTTGCTCGCGATTAGATAGATGCGGATGAGAGTGAGAACACAAAGATAAATGTTAGAGGAAGGAATTTCAATTTATGATTACCCACAGACTGCGATGAAATTGTCACAGACTGTAACATTGAAAACGCGACACTAGAAGTAGCTCGCATTAGGCTAGTAGAATTACATTTCCCAGGATTCTTAACCACAGAAGCAACAAGTAGTCCTAGTTTTGGTTTGACGAAAATATGGACGCCTGCTAGCGATTAGATGCGGATGAGACTGACAACACAAACGTTGTAGGAGGGAATTTGTATTGTATTTGTATTTGTAAGGCAATGAACTGAAAAGCTAACATTCACCCATACCTTAGACGCACTGCATTACAAGGCACACTGGTGATTTTTAAATACTGCCACCGCGGCAACAACTTCACGAGCAATCAACTATGTGCCAGTTATCAGAAGTGAAAATAAATTAAAAAGCGGTCTGAGTATGACACTGTGAGAATTCTGTCAGTCTGCCTATGATGTCACACTTGTTTGACCAGAGAAAGCCTCAAACTAATTCTCGCTCCGCGTGCAGGTTTTGATCCAGACGCCCACAACCAACTATACCGTGATGGACTACCAGCGACTTTATTTTGACCTTGATTTCAAGGATGGCTGGTTGATGCGTCAAGACACGGAGTCTCTGCTTTTCGACCTCACGCCGCCTGGCGTGGCCGTCCACTGCTTGTACGGCTCCGGCATTCCCACGTCGGAAGCCTTCCAGTACACCTCCAAGTTCCCCGACGTGGATCCCACGGTGGTGATGGGCGACGGCGACGGGACGGTCAACCTGCTGAGCGCCACCCAGTGCAAACGCTGGGTGGGGCGGCAGAAACAACCGGTGACTTTGCAAGAGCTTCCCGGGAATGAGCATGTCAACATGCTGCTCAACGTCTCCACTGTGGCCTATATCAAGAAGGTGCTGTTCTAGACTATGATGGGAAGCTCCCCCCCTCCCCGCCCCTCCAACATACAGAAAACTGCCTCGGTCATTTGATCTGTTCAACTTACCATTTATGTTGCTTTGGTTTTTGCCCTCCGAAATGCTTGGCTGTAGATGCGACGCTGCCAAATGGAAAGACGCAGCAGCTGTTTTGACACCTCTTACGTGACTATTACTATTAATATCGAATGAACTATGTTTTCAAATGGCTGCTGCACAAGTGTTTATTGTGAGGTTTTTTTTTTTATTTTTAATTCAAGCATTTTTAAATGAATTTTATACAGTTGGTGTCAGAATGTTTATGGAGAAAATTATATTCTTAGCTGTCCAAGAATCCAAGACGTCAAAGTGTGGTTATTGTATCAAAGAGGCAAAGTGGGGTATGTTGATCTAAAGTGTATACGTTAGTCACTCAAATTTTCACTTTTGATTTAGTAAACCCATATTTTTCATCATATGTTTGAGGTCCTTCGCTACCCCAAATTATAATTAATAATAGTAAATAATTCATTTTTTGTTTATTTTGTATGAAAATCATCTAGCTCGGCCTGGTAGACCAGTGCTTAGCGCTTCGACCTCACAGTGCAGAGATACCGGGTTCAATTCCAGCTCTGGCCTTCCTGTGTGGAGTTTGCATGTTCTCCCCGGGCCTGCATGGGTTTTCTCCGGGTACTCCTGTTTCCTCCCACATTCCAAAAACATGCATAGCAGGCTTATTGAACACTCTAAATATTACCTAGGTGTGAGTTTCAGCGCGGATGGTTGTTAGTCTCTGTGTGCCCTGCGATTGGCTAGCAACCGGTTCAGGGTGTCCCCCGCCTACTGCCCGAAGACGGTTGGGAGAGGCTCCAGCACCCCCCATGACCCTTGTGAGGATAAAGCAGATCAGAAAATGGATGGATGGATTAAAATCAACGATCATTTGGTGAGAAGTCAATTAGGTACATTTTTTAGTTGTTTAACTTTAGATAAGTCTGAATTCTAATGTATGTTTAAGATCCAACAAGAAAAAGGAACATCAACTTAAATCAGGGATTGATGATATCAATACTTTTCAGCAACTAACCGAGCACATGTTGAAAAGATGACCTCAACCTTGTGTATTGGCATATCACGATATGTTTTCTTTTGCTGTTGTGTTTGTGATGACTCTTCAGGTTCCAACTCCTCCTTTATATTTAACCTGGATGACACACTGGTTTCTGATTATATTTGTATGTTGTCAAATATATATATATATATATATATATATATATATATATATATATATATACACACACACACACACACACACACACACACACACACACACACACATATTTGTTTACCGTTGTCATTTTCTCCAGTGCCAAATTTATACTGCTCCCTGTACACGCTATAAAGACTTAATATTTGCCTTGGTTTGTCATAATAACAAATTGTTTACCCGGTCTTTTTATCTGTACGGGAATTGATTTGACAGAACACAGCATGCTGGTCTTTTTTGTTGAAAGTTATCATCACTGATATCTCGCCTTTGCATGCTGCATTTTTCGGGCACGCTTTGTATCACAATAATATTCCTTTTCTGCTTATAGACAATCAAGAAGTGTTCAGACTGTGCTTCTCCATAATGTTTCTAAAGGTATTGTGCAATGTGCTAATGGAAATGTAATTAGTTGCTCTTTCTAACAGAGTAATTGTGTAACCTGATCACAATGAGACTCTGCTATGAAGTGTCAGTTAAGTACTGCCATGGATAAAGTCTTTTAATCGTTATGAATCAAACTGACTTTATTTTTCAAATGATTTCTCCTTGTCTTACATTCTGAGCGCTTTAAATTATGGAGGTTGGGAGGGAGGCGTCGGGTTGGCTGGAGAGGTAGAGCTGGGTGTCATCCGTGAAGCACTGAAAGTGTATTACAAAATTACAGGAAATAATGCCAAAGGGGAGGAGGTAGATAATGAAGAGGAGGGGTCCCAGGACAGAGCCCTGGGGCACACCAGAAGAGCCGGGGAAGGACTGTGAAGTGAAGGAGTTGAGTTGGATGAATTGAGAGCGGCCAGCGAGATAAGAGTGAAACCAGCGTAGGGGGGTGTGGGTGATGGCTATGGTGGAGAGTCTGTTAGGGAGGATGGGGTGAGAAATGGTGTCAAAAGCTGCACTCAGGTCGAGGAGGATGAGGATGGAGATCAAACCGGAGTCACAACAATTTCATCCTATAAAACCAGAACAACAGAGGGAGAACATGCAACAACAACATTATGCAACATGTTTCAATTGACAGTGTGTACACAATAGAAAATTTCCCCAACTTCCTGTTTTGTTCCTTGTGCAAACATGAGAATCCACCAGATCTCACTTACCCCAACCTCCCGTAGCGCTTCAAAGTCGTGATCAACTCTCGTTTTAAAGCAGGGGTGTCAAACTCATTTCACATTGTGGGCAACATACGGCCTCCGTAGATGTCAAGTGGGCCAGACCATTAAAATTACACCATACTCTGCTACAAATAACCAAAATAACATGGCTTTCCTTTGTTTTGGTCGAAAGAAGCACAAGAACATTAGGAAAATGTTGAAATTGAATGAACATGTCTTTTACAAAACATTTCATCAGCACCTGAGATTTCCTGGTTTGGACAAATGTGCAATTTACTTTTATCATTCACATATATGTATTGCAACTGATCCCACTGATTGTACAATGGCACAAAACTTTAACAAGTAATTGGTATTGAAAAATATAGTAATGCACTTAGATTAAACGAGATTAAGAAAGAAAGGAATTTTTAAACCATTGACACGTGCATATAAAATCTAAATTTAATCTCTGCCTACACCTTACAAATTAAGGAGAGTGCTATTTAATGTGTAAAGAATAAAGCATTCACGTCCTTCATAGTGTCCGCTGTGTTGGGTCTGTCTCAGTGACAGACTGAGGCCACTGTTGTCTTCTTCTCTGATCAAAAATGTTGTCTTCTCCTTAGATCAAAACACCGTGTCCCCTAGCGGATATTCCAAGAATTGCACCGTATTAAAAATATTCATTCCGTGTCTTTTATGCATTCTTACACTTTTAAATTATAATGTGGGCCTGATGGAACCTCCTTGGGGGCCGCTTCCGGCCCGCGGGCCGTATGTTTGACACCAGTTTTATAGGATTCACGTTTTCTGTGAACCCCTACATGCTGTCACGTGGGTAAGAAAGGTAGATGAAAGCTTGCTTAAGTCACTGTTGGGAGAAATTTCTCTGTTCTCACAGCCAAACTTAACTTTGTGAGCAAAGAGTATTTTTCTCATTTGTGTTAGAAAATGGCGAAGAAATGGTGAAGGAGGAATTGTCACTGAGGTTTCAACACTTCTGATGGGTTTCTAATCCTCATTGATTTTATGGGGGACGTTGCACCCAGAGAGGCGAGAACCGCTGTCCGTTTCAGCAGTGATTGTGGGAACAAACTGACCCAGTGCTAAGTGCTCGCTCCCACAGCATTTGTCGGAAGTGGTGTGTTGGAGTGAGCTTAATGCACATGCCACAATTCAGGGGATCACAGCAGGAGCCATTAGGATAGCTCCGCGTCAGATGAAAAAAGCGGGTGGAAAGTTCTAAAGGGCACACCATCATCGTCCAGATGTTCGTTGGGCCATTGAGTACAGTCTTTAGATGACAGCCGTCGGCCTGTCCCTCAAGAGCGATACTTTCATCGTTAGGAACGTAGATGACATCAGGGAGGAGCAACTGCCCATCCTCCGGGGGCCAAAAAGCAGCAGAAACCCCAAAATATCGCCAGTGACCCAGGCCTATCTCACGTGTCCCACACAAGATGCACCTTGGAGCATTCACAAAAGGGCACAAAGCAAAGTCCAAAAACAGCCTTTAAGTGCAAAGGAAAGTACAAAGGAAGGCTATAACGGCTCTTCCTAAGGCATGGTAGCACACGACAAATGCAGGAGCCTTAAAAAAAAGCTTGCATGTACCAGGTAGCCCCGCCTAAGGACTACATGAGTAGCCCACAGGCCTGTTCTGAAAAGCGTTAAACAATTATGCAACATTGTGATTTCCTAAGAAATGTTGAAGTGATCATTTGAAACTGTTCAAACACTTGTAGGCACTATTACTGTTGTTTGCATGGCTTTAGTTGTGCCCATTGTTCAGTATAAATGAATGGGAATATTAATAACAGTCTTCTTCTTCTATTTCTTCTTTTCCTTTCGGCTTTTCCCTCCAGGGGTCACCACAGCGAATCAGTTGCCTCCATCTAACCCTGTTTTGTGCATCTTCTTCTCTCACACTAACTACATTCATGTCCTCTTTCACTACATCCATAAACCTCCTCTTTGGTCTTCCTCTCGGACTCCTGCCTGGCAGTTCAAGACTCAGCATCCTTCTCCCAATATATTCACTCTCTCTCCTCTGGACATGTCCAAACCATCTCAGTCTGGCCTCTCTGACTTTCTCTCCAAAACCTCCAACATGAGTTGTCAAACATGAGCAATATGAATCACGGTCATTTAAACAATTTTGTTTTTTTCAGAAGTGAATATCAAAGTGGGAGCCCAACCCAAGAAGTAGCTCTCGGTTTCAGAAAGGTCGTGACCCCTGCTCTAGTTGCTAAAAATATAATTTATTGGTGACCTAAGACTCGCACAGTACGATGCATGAGGCACCTTTTAGTCATTTTGAAGAACCCACTGGAAGTTCATCTTTGCAATGGGTGCATTCACAATAACACAATTTATTTCCGACTCCTCTTAATCTGTTCAAGGTTGCAGGGACCTGCAGTCTAACCCATTTGTAAAAAATGGTTGACGGCCAACACCCCGACTGGTTGTCAGTCAACTAAAGAGCACATATACAGACAACCATTCACACTCGTATTTACAGCGTCCCTGTGTGGGGACTGAACTACACGTATATCAGCCAAAAGAACCGCAAAAGCACGGTTGACGTTCACAAGAACATGGGGCTTGTTGTGAATGAACTGAAAATATAAGCAAGAAATAAAAAGCCGATATGCTTGTTTTATTGCTAAACCTTTAATGAGGAAACCACTACAATGACACATAACCAGAACGCAAACAATACTCGGTCATGAGTTGCTTTATAGGTCACGAGTAGATTTCAGTCTGCATTTGCCTTTATTATTGTTTGGCCAGGAATCCTGAGAAGAGGTATACGATCTCAGTGGGCCGCTTCCAAGTAGAATAAAGCTGAATTGAAATCAAATCAAAGATCATTGTGAGTGCTGTCGAATGTGCCTGCTGTTGCTGCTGAGCAGTTTGGGGTAGGCCGTGCCGAGGGAGCGTCCGTGTCGGATGACCACCAGCTCCATCTGACACTGGTCGATGTTGACCAGCACCGTGGTGGTTCTCTCCGTGTTCATGAGGAAGATGACGGTGAAGAGGGCCATCTCGAACTCGGGGCTGGTCCCGATGAAGGAGCTGCCCACGGGTTTGAGCACGCTATGCCAACTGAACTGGAGGCTCATGACGTGGTCGTCCTCGTCGGGCTGAAAAAGACGCGAGCGTTAAAGGCTGCGTGATGACCGGAGAGATGAGCGGACGATGGTTCAGACGTACCAAATCGTGCTCCTTGGCCTTGTAGCCTTTGTAGTCCAGCAGGCTGCCCTTTTCCTGCATGTAGAACTGGATCCAGTTATGGAAGCCTGTGATTTCACTGTTCGATTTGATCTCTCCAACAAACACGTGCTCGAAGCCGCAGGAGTCAGGCCTGTAAATAAAAAGGAGTCCGCCACAAACGTGTGTTGTAGCGTCCCGTTGTTTTGGGTAAAATCGGTCTCCCTTTATTCGGCTGCGTTCTGGATAATTGTTGTTAAAGCCAGGCAACCTGGTAGACAGAGTTCTAATGATGTCTACACATACTTTTTTTTTTTTTTTTACTCCATCAATAGCAACCCTCTGTGAGTTCATATCAGAATATCCGTAAGGTCAGCGTGTTCACCGAGCGTGCTCTTACCCGGTGTTCCTCTGTCTGTGGTAAAGGTGAAACCAGATTAGGCGCAGCTGACTCTTAAAGTCTCTCAAGTTAGATGAAGATTGTCCTTTACTCACCAGGTATCTGTGTGTACGCTACATAAAAAAAAAAAACAACAACAACAACAAACAAATTGGTGTCTGGTGTCAGACACTCAACAATCACCGACAAAATCAGATCAACCCACTCAAGTAGAACCGCACTTTGACTCATTTAACCCTTTCGGGGACAGCGGTTACCACAGTGGACAGCTTATCTGGTTATCAGGTTACAGGTTATTATTTGTATACGAAAGGGTTAAGTTGGTTAGTACACAGAACAAAAACTGAAACACAACAGACGTTTTTTTTTTGTTCCATTTTGCACAAGCTAACCTCAAAGACATTAAACTTTATTTGTTTAAATCGGTGTAAGTGAGCATTTCTCCTTTGTTGAGATAATCCACCAACCTCACCCGTGTGGTGTAACCAAGATGCGGATTAGAAAACATGACAAAATACAGACAACAAGACGCCAAATAGCTACACTCAGCCCCCTCAGAAATTCCTCAAGTATGGGTCCAATTTGCAGTGAGCTCGAGACAATGCAGCATTCCACAGCTGCACGCAGATGTTCCACATGTTTACTGTTCTCTCTGTGCGAAAGAATGTTTCCAGTAAAAAGACGAAACTCCCTTTGGGGCGCAGCTGCAGCCTCACGCCAGAAGCCGTTCAAGGGGGCGAAAAAGAACATTCAACACGCATGTGGATTGAGGCGAGGCAAAGTATGGCCACACATTTCGCCAAAGCATTGTACATTCTCACATATCCTGTCATATTTATCATGAATTTAGCACCCCCCCAAAAAATTGTTTAATTAAAATATAAAATTAGATTTTTTTTTTAGAGGTACATTCAACATTCCATCCGTCCATCCATCCATTTTCTGATCCGCTTATCCTCACAAGGGTCGCGGGGCGTGCTGGAGCCTATCCCAGCTGTCTTCGGGCAGTAGGAGTGGGACACCCCGAACGGGTTGCCAGCCAATCGCAGGGCACACAGAGACGAACAACCATCCACGCTCACACTCACAACTACGGGCAATTTATAGTGTTCAATCAGCCTGCCATGCATGTTTTTGGAATGTGGGAGGAAACCGGAGTACCCGAAGAAAACCCACGCAGGCCCGGGGAGAACATGCGAACTGCACACAGGTAGGTCGGAGCTGGAATTGAACCCGGTACCTCTGCACTGCGAGGTCGACGCGCGAACCACTGGACCACCGGGCTGCCACATTCAACTTTATTTTATGAAATAATTTGCCTATTATTGGAAGTGACATTCATCGTAATAAAACAAAAAGGAATTGCAATGTACATCCATCTATCCATTTCCTGAACTGCTTATCCTCAGTCGTGTCACGGGCAGTATTATTAAAATTAACTATTTTTTTTTTTTTTAATCAACATAATAAAAAAATGACAACCTCATCTAAAAATAACATGCCCGACCCATCCGCTTATTTTTAAACCTGGAGAACCCACGCGGTCTAATTTGGCCCCTATAAATTCTGCTACTCAAATGCTACCCTTAAATCCCAAAGGGTCAAATTTGGCCCAAATCCTAAATTTGGAATAAAGCATTAAATATTTGACAAAACATATTCAGTATATTGGTGTTCAGTGAACATATCGCAGTCATTTAATGTAGAATTCATCATTTTCCAAAGAAGAAAAGGGTTCTTGGGTTCTCCAGGGTTAAAATGAAATGTGTCCAGCAACCAAGTAATCGAGATGTCGTCCAAACGCGTGTGAACTGTACCTTCATGACTTCTGTCTCTAAAATGGCATCCAAGAAGCGGCTGGTCTCAACCTTTTCCTCGGTGGTGACACGCTCAGCCACGCCAGTTGACCTCTCATAATTGTCCAGCAGCCTCAAAAGCCCTAAAGGAGCATTTATACAGCGTATGCTCGGAGTCAAACATTTACACACACATGCTAACAGTAACCTTCCTTCCAGACATCAGAATCACACAAGAAGAAGCTACTACCACGACTTAGTGCAACCTTTGGCTTCCTACTATGCAACCAAACGCTACTACCATTTGTAGTAAACTACCAGACTGCACTACCACAGGGCCAAAGTAGTAGGCATGGGTCACACGATAGCAGTCGGCTGGAGATTACTTGTAGCGCCAAAATAAACGTAATCTCGATATAAAGGCTGCCACTCTTTACAGCCATGACTTCATTAGTTCTTCGGCTTGTGACAGCATCTCATCATCACCAGCACACTTTTGACCCGAGAGAATACGATGGTATCAAAGTTGCTACTAACTGAAGATGGTGGTGGTGTTCCTCATCTTGAGCTCATTGACGTTGGAGAAGAGAGGCAGGGAAGCATGATCGAGTGCAAACTGTGCGCCCGGGCTTACAAAGCCTGCTCGGCCCTTGCACAACAAAAACAAAACACCTCTTTGTAGTCAGCATGAAAAAAAGTCACACAAAGAGTGAAGCGTGGAGAGTCTTCATACCTGAACTGAGATGGTGTAATCTACACCAGGCGTCATTCGATTTGTATCCAGCCTCCACAGCTCATTGAAAAGGTTGGAAAGTTCTTAGTTTAATACCATTCTGTCATGAGAACATTCAGCGGTATTTTGTTATTTTACAGATATGGACAACAAGATGCCGTGATGAAAAAAAAGTAAGCAAGTAGATGTTGCTGTGATGAAGTATATTATCCGAACAGTACTTTACTTGAGTATTTAATTTTCTTTCAACGACTTTCTATTACTCTCCACATTTGAAAACAGTCATCTATACTTTCTACTCTTTACTTTGTCAAAATAGGATTGTTAATTCTTTCAACCTCTGCGGACTAAGACACAACGGAAAAAAAGATGCCAATACAGAGTGGTAAAGTCAACAAGATCTTCTCTTCTCAGTACATGTTTACTATTACATTTTTTTTAAGTACAGCAGTCGAATCTGGACTTCGACTAACTTTTTACCAATGTTTTTTTTTTTTTTAACCACAAACCTCTGTCGGCTACTTGTAATTAAAATGTGAGTACTTTTGTCACCTCTGACAAAAGTCAATACAGTATTGTTTACTGTACAGTACCTGGATGCATTCAGTCCACTGAGGAACACTCCAAGGAGGAGGACTACACAAATCCTGAAAACAAATATATAAAAACCTTTGGAATGTTTTCTATCAGAAAGAAAGCAAGATGACAAGTACCCCAATAAAAATAAGAAATAACTTTAAAAGGTGCAGAAAAATCAAACTACAAACCTTGAAGCCATGGTGTGTTTCTTCACTTCTGCGTACATACAGTGAGCACCCCCCGACCCCACAAAAATCACGGTCCTCTTCAACGCGCATGCGCACAACCGATAAAAGTTTAGAGCTGCGGTTCTCTACAATAGTCACGAGAGGGCACATGTGCGTAAAAAAAAAAAACCCTACTACCGTAATTTGTGCACAGCACACTAACAGAAAATGATCTCCTACCAACTTGCGCGATTTTAAATAAGACTCTCCTATCAAGTTTAATGTATTTAATTAATCAATTCTATTGTATTTGGTTTGGGGTACGTGTTTTTTTTTGAGTCATGTAAGATGACTTTCGGCTTGTCCTATTAGATTGCCACAGCGAGTCTAACTTTAAATACATTGACACGTCAGTGTCATATTAAGACATTTTGACATTTGTCATACTCATGTTAAATATTTGACTTTTTGAGGTAAAAGCCACACTTGATTAAAGGCAAAGCGCAGTACAGATTTGTAATACTCACCTTTCTAAATCAATTGTTCGCTGGCCTTAATGTTTCAATACTTATGACATGTATTAAATCTGAAAAGTACAATGACTTCAATCAATCATTTTATCAGCATATCTCTACCACGTGCAACACAGATCTGGCTGTTGGGTCACCGTTGTGAGGCTCAAACCTCGGTTTAAGCCTTCCTGTATGGCGAGTGCATGTTCTCTCATGCTTGTGAAAGTTTTCTGCAGGTACTCCAGCAACAGTACAAAATCATGCGTTGTTCAACGAAGACACTAAATTGTCCAAATGTGTGTGTGACTGATGAATTGTCATGAATCGTTATTACATTGTTAAGACATTTTATTGGATGACTTTAATTCATTAAAATTCTATTTTTTTTAAGTCCCCCGGCAGAACGAGGGAGTCCCCACTGGGGGCGCTCTACAGCACAACCCTGAGGACAAACATAAAATGGATCGCATGCTACCACGTCTATAATGAAATCTCAGATAAACTCCCCTAAGAAATTCAAAATTTGTCATTTTGAATTGTCCTGCGAAATCTGACACAGACAGCTGTGATTTAAATTACTTTATTGAGCTTTGAATTAGAAATAGCGGTTATCCATCTCTGGCAGGTCAGTGGGTGCACTCTATGGTTACTACTGAATATGACAGCTACTTGAAGCAGAAAAGATAATGAGACAGATTTCTATTAACCAACATAAGAAGTAAGAACAAATGTGGGGAAAACAATGCAGCAATGATCTATATTAATGTATCAGCTCACTATCTATTTGGCTTGTACTGTTTCATGTATTGGCGCAAATGCGTGCCGTATATTATTCTTGAAAAGTTCAGTGTAATATAAAATATACGACAACTTACTTTGAACTAGAAAGGTACTTTTTTGTAGAAAACGTAGCAGCTCTCATTTAGAAATATAAGTTTATCTCCCCTGGTCAATGAAGTTCATTGGTCACCGACTCTACTCCAAGGAGCTCATTTAAAAGATATTCCATCTCTATTGGCATCGTGTATTCTCCACTTTGAATTTGATAACAAAACAAAAGAAAAGAAAAAAAAATGCCAGCACATAACTTAGTCGAAAATATTTCCAGAAACCAGCTGGCAGGCAGTGGCATTGTCCTAAATGTTTCCTCCCTCCTTTTGGCAGCAAAGGAGACGTGACTAAGCGAATAACACTAGCTTGATGAAGAAAGATGGGGCTCATCCTTGAATGCAATGCTAACAAACAACTAGTGAGCAAAGAGTGTGCGTGGAGGGTTTTTTTTCTGTTTTTCATTCACATCAGGACCAGGTCACATGGTCTCATGCAGTGGAGTCGTCATCCGTCACGCTGGTGTTCGGGGAGTTCGACATCTCCTTGAAGAATTCGTCTTCTTTTAGCATACTCTGCACAAATGCAGCAAATGGATAATATATCAATTCAAAGTCTTATTTGACTCCAACTTTCAACATTCTTGACTGTTTGTACCGTAAGGTTCTGGATTCCCTCGGAGAAAGCACCGATTTGTCTGACAGTTCCCTCGGAGTCGTCCATCTGTTTTACACAAAGCAGAAATGTCAAATCCAATGTGCAGGTTCGTTTTTAAGACGAAAGTGGTCCAAGCTCACCTGGTCCAGCCTATCGAGGTCGTCCTCGTAGATCTGGAGCTCAAAGCCTGTTTGAAAACTTCGTCCCTTCGGCATCTCCACGTCCATGGGACACACGTACTCCTCGTTCTCTTCCTGCCTTTTCTTCCTCAGACTCCCGAAGTTACCAAATGACAGTTTTCGCGGCTGGTGTAGGAATCGAAATAGGAAACAATTTCAGCAGTGTTGTTCAGGTTTACACTGGACCTTCGAGATCTCAACAAACAATCTTCTGCCATCACATTTACATTGACGAGCAATTTCAAATTGTGGGAAGGAGCAGGAGACTGTGGACAACGTGATGCCCATCTTTTCATTGTTTTTAACTTGTCAGACATCCAACCATTTTCCAATCCGCTTCATCCTCACAAGGGTCGCGGGGGGTACTGGAGCCTATCCCAGCCGTCTTCGGTCAGCAGGCGGGGGACACCCTGAATTGGTCGCCAGCCAATCACAGGGCACACAGAGACGAACAAGCATCCGCGCTCACACTCACACCTTGGGACAATTTAGAGTGTTCCATTAACCTGCCATGCATGTTTTCGGAATGTGGGAGGAAACCGGGTACCCGGAGAAAACCCACGCAGGCACAGGGAGAATATACAAACTCCACACAGGGAAGCTGGAATTGAACCCTGCACCTCTGCACTGTGAGGTCAATGTGCCTTTTAACTTTTCAGTGGATGTAAAATATAGTTTATGATTTTGAACAAACTGAATACTGGTTATCTTTTAAGACATTCAACTTTGTGAATGGAGGGTTTCGCTGTTGAGATTGTTAACAGCTCAGCGACCAAAATCTTAATCTGCCTGTAATGCAGATGTGCTAACCACTCGTCCACCGGGCCACCCAGACTCTATTATACCTTTTATACATGTTTTACTATTATTTGTATTTTTATTTTTTATTTTTATGTCAAACTGGTATTATCATGCTCGTTAATTGAGAGGAGCGTTGCAAAGGTGTGGAAAATGTCTGACAATGATTTCGGAGATGTTAAAGTTGTGAGGACAATTTTGTACTTTGGTTCATTTGACAACAGCACTCAATTTTTTTTCTTTGAGCGACAAAATGTCAGTACACTGAATTGAATAAACAGCCCCTGAGCTCCTATTATTCCAGGGCAAGGGAGAATGTCTTAAGCATGATTTACAAACATTTTTTAAACAAGATTGTGCTGCATTCATGTTCCATATGATAGCAAACATTTCCAACTCAACTTGAAATGAGTCCCAGGTGAAGGCTGAGCCCACCACCGGTGTTACGACTAATCATGTTTTGCCAAACAAGTGACCATTAAAGACAAACTTGCCCAATAGTACATCATAGAATGAGCCTCGAGTAGCAGCAGTTGCCAACTAGTGGAGGAAATAATCCATCATTCATCCGAATCAATGCCATGTGGGTGTGGACAATTCAATGTGGTCTTACCTTGACCTTGTTGGTGGCAGTCAGCAGAGTGTAGTCTGGGTTTTCCAGACACTCCTGTTTGAGCTGTTGGGCCTCGGAACCAATGAGCAGGTTGAAATGTGTGGCCAAGTGGCGACGCAGCAGCGTTTTGTTGGGGGGGATGTTCAACAGCAGCGCCATGGTCTCCACGTTAAACCTTGGCTCCAGCACCTTTAAAACACACAAACGCTCTTCAATTGAAGTGATGTGCACCCACGAACTCATTTCTGATTTCCCACTGAACAAACAGCACACCACCTCACCATCAAGCCTCCGTGCACGCCGCTGCCTCTCAGGTTGGGAGCGTATTCGGCAAGATCGGCGGAGCGCAGCCACTCCATGACTCTGTGGTTGGTCCACTGGGAAATCTCTGCAGGGGAAATATTGTTCTGTGGAAACATGGAAGAGGAAGACTAAATCATCATGAAAATGTTGAACAGTGGCATGAAGTCGCTTTTATGTCTGCTGGTCATGCACCTCATCAGACGGTCTGCGGCGCAAGCAGTTGGGCTCATAGTTGTTGAGTCGCAACACTTGGATGGCTCTCTTGATACTGAGGTGGTGGAGGACGCTCCCCACCTTCATCGAAAGCAGGTCATCCTGAGGGAAGAAGGCAATGACTAAGTGAGTATTATTGTATGTGTTGCTACCTTTGTGTTAAAGTAGCAGGTTTTTGTTTGATGGCTTATAATCACAATAACATCGATGCTCATTTCCATTAACCCATCTATGGCATTTCGTATACATCAGTATTAATCAGAACTGTCGTTCAACAAAATTGTATGTTTTAGTTGAACATTTGAGTGTTTGAAGTTCTCCAGCCATTCAAATCTTTTGTGGTGCAACATGGTATAAATGTGACATCTCTGTCTGTAGATTTTTTTACAATCGACAATAAAAGGAAAAGGCTTGCAAAATAGGCGAATCAGATTTTGACGCTGTTGTGACACACGTTGGCTACGAATGACACAAGCATAGTTGCTGCTAACCAATAACGTCAAAACAGCGGAGTTTCTCCATTGTGGTCATCCATTCAGGCCACACTAGTAGCCAGCTAAAATTTTCAACATACAGTCTCAAAAACACGAGAAAAAAAAACTGAATGCACTTTTTTGGGGGGACGAGGGATTAAAACACACATATGCACATCTGGTTTATGGGAAGCTGGCAGTCATTGTTGCCAACGGGGGGGGGGCTACATTCATATCTTGCTAGCAGCTTTAACGTCACAAACTGCAATTTGAAAAAAATAAAAAATAAAATAAAAATGTTCCCCTCAGTCTAAGAAAATGATATATGATGATACTAAAATACATTGTTTACCTCACCTGCAATCAACTAAGGTTCACTGGAATTACAAGACACCGACATTATGCCCATGTACATGTAGTTATGCACGAGCAAGTGCAGTGTGAATTATTTATTATTTATCTGTTTATTTTGAATATGCAAGACGATGACTTAACCAGTGAGAAGACTAAAAGAGGTGTCCGCTGTCAAAAACTCACCACAGTCATGTAGTGCAGCATGCGACCATCTACCCGTCCCTCATCAAACTGAGTCTTATACTGTGGCAGCCCAATGTCGTCCAGCCACCCTGAGGGAACAAGAAAAACACGTCAGTGAAACTGGGATACTCCGAGCATAGCCCAGAGGACAGCTGCTACTCACTGGTCACCCAGTTGTAGTCCAGCTTTCCCTTGTTGTCCTCTTCCTCTGAGCCAAAAGCCTGCAGAGCCAGCTGCAGCTTCTTCCGGTGGAGCGGGTGTTTGATGCCCAGCTCCTGAACAACAACAGTGTGACAAGAGTGAACATTACATGTAAAGTGGGCATCTTTCAACGTTGAAGCTTGCGGTTTCATCCCCAACACACCCACAGCCCTGTTAAAGTACGGCCCAACCCCTGTTGCTCCTACTGCACATCAATGTACGAATGAAGAGTTATTTTTTTTCAATTTCTGTATTATCTTGCTTAGAATTCTCCAAATAATTTTCAATTTGTTAACAGTTTTAAAATATCCCACACAGAGGTGCATAAGCCGTCTCTATTCTCTTTTCATTTGTTGAAAGGCAACCTGTGTTGTACTGCATCTCACCCTCTCCAGATCCTGTTGAGACGCCTGAAGCAAGGTCTGTCCAGAAGAGATCCACACACGTGCCATGTTCGCATAAAGCCCAAGACCTTGCTCTTGCAGCCACTCACACACTTGGTCCTTTGACCAGCGAGCGAAGGGAGCATCCACATCACTGGGAAAAAACAAAAAAGCAGCTTGTTATGGTGAAATTTAATAGCCACGCTGCAGAAGCAGCGGAAGGTCGACAAAATGATTTGTCAAGAGGCTTCAAAATAAGAAACCCCTACTGTGAGTGTGATTATGAATCGAACGCTTACTTGTTGACTCGCTGGAAATCACGAGACCAACCCAGTCGTGGTCCAGCTGTGGCTCGCACTCCCCCCCTCTTAAAATCTCCAACCGGCGGGTTGTCATCCAAGTTAAATGTTGTGGACTGACTTCTCTTAAGCCTTCAATTAAGGAATGATTTGCATTTAAAAACTTTTGCCAGTCTGAATGTTGGACACGAATGCTTAAAATTCTATTAAACTCCTTAGCCAAGGCCACGAGTATCTCCATAACAATAACAATAATAGTCATCATCCACTCACTTGCCGAATAGTTTCTTAATTCCTTTAGACTTCTTCTTGCCTTCTGTGGTGGTGGGGAGTGTATGAGTGCTGTCACTGTTCGCCGACCTCTGAGGCAGCCCGGCCAAGTCTAGGTGATCGGTGCCTTTGTGTTCAGTTTCAGCTGTGCAGACAAACGGACACCGAATATTATTGGCATGATGAGAATAACAAACGCACGACTTCTCTGAGGAGCCAGAAAGCAACCCAACGGACAGGGGATGAACTCCTAGAGAGACACGGTGTTCAAAAGCAAGACATGACATGCAGAATGGTGCATGCAGACTAAAACATCAAAGAAAGAATTCGTGTTCTTTTTCTTCTTCAACTAAATGAGGCAGAGCTAAAACGTTGGGCTGCAAATGAAGAGATCTTTCAGATGCATGATCATTTCGGTCGGATACACAATTGTGTTTGGGCAGGGCATTGGAGCCAAAGAAAAGAAATGCATGCAGGCACGCAGGCAAATCAGCATACGCAACACAACTGTTATGTTTCACAGACAAACTGTGACTAATGAGATGAGTTCTGCCGTTAGGACACTGCAGCTGCTAAAACATGAGCTGAGCGATGAGCTCAAGAACGGCGGAGTTGTACAATGAAGACACATCTTCAGTCCTTCCTGTAATGACCAGCGGGCTATACTGTACCTAGCATAGGCGCGCTTGCACTGCGGCTGCGGTCTTCATGTGTCACAAACACACAGAAAACATCAGAGGTACCGAACAGAAAGAAAAACAAGACAAACAGAATTCATGATTGAAAAACCCAAAGACCGAAGAGGAATTAACACTCGAAAAAGGGTGCACATACAGGGAACAAAGGGCATACTGTACGTACAACACGACACAAGTAGACGTGACAATCAAATGACAAGCACAGTTTACAGCAAATGAGGGCCTGTGTGGTTTATCCCATGGGTATGTCGGACTTTGTTGTCATTATTTGGGTTTGTGTAGTTTGTTGAAAATGGGTGTCCTTAGTTTCAGTCCCCTTGCTACCTTGTTTTGCACTTACCAAGATTCTGGGAGCTGCCATTTTTCCTGCCTCCGCGCAGCTTGAAGAAGCCCTTCCCAAAAGATGAACGGGCCTTTTTGGACCCAAAGCTGTCGTCCTCTGTGGTGGTGAGCGAGGCTGCAGCAGTACTCAATGGTGGCTTCTCAGCAGTTTGAATGATGTCAACGAGTGTATTCTAGGACAATACACACAGAACACGGTGTATATATCATGTCCGAACATACTTATCTGCAACAGTAGAATTTGTTGATGCAGTAATTTTGAAATAATGCAGCCAATTATACAACATACCATACCGACAGATAATATTATAATTGAGAATTGGGGAAATGGTAAATAAAGGGGGGCCTTGGCTTACGACAGAATTCCTTTGGAACAGAGGTGCTGGAACCTCAATTAGTACAGAAGTCAGTCATGCGCTAACGCAGAAGAAAGGTCAAATTCACAATAAATATTGGTATGAAAAATCGTTTTAAGCCAGAAATATAAAACAGTCCAATGAAAAGCAGTCAGTGTGGCAAGAAATGAGTGTGCCATTTTATGCATTCTTACTTCACTGTGCAAAATACGAAACTGCACGCTGGTTGGAATGTCAAAATGTCAGATGTCGGGACCGCAGTAAAAAGAGGACTCCTGTAAACTGTCCTTCTTTTCAGTGGAGTGTATCTTACCTTCTCATTTTTGCTCCTTTCTACAAGTTCGTGGCTGATGGACTGGTTTGTATCTTGGCCGCTGGAATAATGATGAGCAGAGTTTAGAACAGTTGCAATGTGGCACGAAAACATGCAGGGTTTGAGTTGTAACTTGAGCTTTGAGAGTTCCGAAACAAGTTTCGGTGGAGCGGCACATGCATGCGGTACCTGAAAAAATGCAATGTTTCCCATAATAAAAAATATTTTGACCACAAATAAAAGACCTAAACCAATGGATCTACTGTCATTCAGGAAAAACAGGTGCCCTTCATTGGGGCTCAGCACTATTTGCTCTTGTATAACTTAAGCCTTAAACTAAATTCAATTTTTGTGTGGGAATGGGTTCTTTTTAAAGGGATATTTTACTTTTTTTTTTTCGTCTTCTACCCCCCAATTTTGCTGCTGTAGACTGTAAATTTCCCCAGTGTGGGACAAATAAAGGATATCTTATCTTATATGTACGCTGTTTGCAACAGTAAAATATTAGCATTTTTCTACAATTCATTTGAAAACTTCATTCTTCTTATTTTTCATGTACATTTATTAAACGTTAAATATGATTTTAAAAATAAGATAGCTGGCCAGCATGTTCATTAAACATGTCACCAGTTAACTGTCACAAGTTAGACTAGACTGCACAATGATATACACACTCAGCTTCACCCGGTGGAATGCAATTAAGGGGAAATCTATCAATATAGAGGTGCACTTATGCGTCTAATCTATTACTACCAATCAAGCCACACGCAAAAAATAATGATGTTTTTCTTTCATGTTTTACCCATCTACATCTGTAGCTGCAGACTCTGTGACCTGGTCGGGATCAGAAGGGCTAGATGAGGGTGAACCATTGTCACACAGCCCATCGAGGATCTCCAGCTGCACAGAAGATGAAGACAACATAAACAGAAGACCCACACACAGAAACACAAAACCATAACTAGTGTACATTGGCTATGTGCCAACTTCCTTTCATGGAGTCCAGCATTAAGGGGCATATCCTCATGTTGGCGCTCGGGTCAAATCCATACATGCATTTTTTACGAATTTTGAAGACGCTGTGACTCTCCCATCAAGGCTTTTGATACGCCCACTATGGAAATATGTGCACAACCACTAAGGAGCCGTAATTTGGTGAAGTCGGACGGTGGAACTAATTTCCAGATTGTGGAGTTTTCATCAGACATGAAAATTGCATATGTCACACTTTGATTGTGAAATGAACTTGCGTCATGGATCCAGAAGTTATCGCCAGTGATGTGTGTACATCTGCAAACAACTTTGAAGGAGCGTGTTTTTGCATTCACTTTCGACTAAATCCAACACAAGCTATTTAAATCAGAATACCATGCTCGTAACAGAATGCTTAGAAGACTGACGTTGCAAATTGAGAGTTGACCAGGTTGCCAAGCAACACACGCCTGTGGCGCATCAAATAGAGCACTACCAAATAAATAAATAAATAAATAATCTGTAAATCATGGTTCATTATTACGTTGACTATCTTTTTTTTTTTATAATCGGCATTTCAATTGCAAGTCCCGTCAGCATGTATAAATCCAACACGAGCTATTTAAATCAGAATACCATGCTCATAACAAAATGCTTAGAAGACCGACGTTGCAAATTGAGAGTTGACCAGGTTGCAAAGCAACACACGCCTGTGGAGCATCAAATACAGTACTACCAAACAAACAAACAAACAAACAAACAAACAAATAAATAAATAAATAGTCAATCATGGCTCATTATTACGTTGACTGCCTTATTTTTTGTAATCGGCATTTCAATTGCAAGTCCCGTCAGCATGTGGAAATGCTCCTCACAGATGCAGAAAAAAGTCAGCGGGCGCTGATCCATTTTTCAACAATTGAACATGATTTAATGTCAACATTCAGTCATCAGTGTAATTTAGTAGGGACACAAATACAGTCATTGAGCGTATATGAGACAGGTGTTGCACCCACCCCGTCCATACGTCAGCATGAAGCAGCCGAGTCGGGCGCTGTGACAGTCATCACTCGCCGTCAGCGGCTGGGTACTGACACGGCACACCTTTTCGACCGGGGCGGA